TCCTGCTGATTTTTGCAGAATCCTGTTGTACGCTCCATTACAATGCACTAGCTCAGATCTAAGGGCTTATAAAGTGCTACCTGACCCCTCAAATGTATGTCATGTTTTACCTGTCCCAGTAGCATATGAAACACATCTAACATGAATGTTTGTTGTTTTACAGAGAATATTGTAATGATGTAAAAGTATCAGAAAACAACACTGAATTTCTTTTAAATTTCACGGAGTTTATGGATCAAAATACCCCAACCAGCCCTTCATGTAAGTATTCTATTCCAGTCACCAAAACTTGTAGCAAAGGAAAATGTCTGTGGACTTTTTTTCTTTGTTTGTTTGCTTGCTTATTGGGAGGGAGTGGTTTTACTCTTTATTAATTTGCTTAATGGAATTTATATGAATAACAGGAATGAACTTCTCTATGAACTTTACTTTAGGTCCAAGCCAGAGACCAGAACACTGGGGGCATATTTCCAGCCTTATCTAAAATGATCTACCTGAATAGTACATAGTAATAATCATAAAACTAATTTGGTAATTTCTGGCTTCCCTTCCTCTCTATTGCAGTGGATGATTTTCTAGCAGTAACCAAAGTCAGTCAGTACTGTCTACCCTCCCACACTGTTTGTAGTTCCCTTTTTTTTTCATTATTATTGAACATATTAGGCAATAAGGTGACACGGGCAGATTTTAAAGATTGTTTTCCTTGTCTTTTAGGGCCTGAACAAAAACCACATTTACACCAGTATAATTTAAAAGTTTTCTCCACCAATGTAAATCACCTTGGAATTCAGAGCAAAGAGAGAAGTTAGCTGCTTTTAGTAGGCATTCTTACAGTACTTGGTCACTAGGGATAAGGGAAACAGAAATCGCTTATTTGCATTGGCCAAATAGATATACAAGGATGGAAACAAAGAGATGACACCTACATTTGTGTAATTTTCACTGCTGTACTGATGTACTTCCCTGATTTTTCTTTTGTAAAAAATTGCTGGATGCGAGTAAATTACATAGGTGTGTAGG